AGATAAGGGACAAGAGTCCTAGATTGAGAGAGGACTTCAGTTTGGATAAAAATAAGACTCTTAGAGAGTTTAGGAGTCCAGAATTGACAATGAGACAGAATCCATTGGAGTTAGACTTCTATTGGGATTAGGTCAGTGTTGGCTATAAAAGAGAGGCACCCCCATGGGTCTAAGGTACGCTTTTTGTATTCTGACTAGTGAGTTTAGTACTTTTACTATCTTTGAGAGATAATTGACTTGATCCCCCCGGGTGGACAAACCACCGCCGGAATCTCTTCTTTTTGTGACAAGTCGTTCAGGCTTAATAAATTCTGTCAGTGTTCTCCAGCTGAGTACTACTTTGGCAGTGTGGTCAAAAATCAACTCACACAATCATACAACATAATAAATTTTAAATTGTTCATATAATCCAAAAAGCACAAGTTTTCAAATATCTTTAATTTAGTCTCCATAATCTCTAGGTTTTATTGCCTATTTCAACAAAAATTTGAAGGGTAGGTAGCTCATATAAAGGTTTCTAAACTGTTTTCCCCAATGAATTAAAGTGATGTAAAATTATTATACAAAAGAATCTAGAATAAAATTATTGAAAAATGATGTTGAGAAATAGAATTGCTACTTATAATAGGTCTTTAATTTTATTTAACAAAAATTTGACAAGTTATCAAGTATTTCATCCCCAAGGTAACCAAATATTTACTCAGCCAACATCCAAAATAGTGCTAAAATAATTGGCAAGCAATGTTTCATTTTTAAGTGAAAGGGTTGCACTAAATTTGAGTGAAACAAGGAAACCTAAAGATAATTTCCACCCCCAAGGATTGCTGGTATGCCAATGCCATCAAGGAGCCAGCCTTTTTATCAATGCTTTTCTAGGTAACACGACACTTGAATCGTCATTTGTTTAACGAGTACTATTATCAAAGAGTAATTCTACATATACAGAATTGAATCATATAGTTAAATACTAAATTGTGTTTCAATATGATGGGGATACACTTCTTTAGCAGATTTTTTTCCAAATCTGATTTTACTTTCCTATTCGTCTAGTCGAGTAGAACCTAAAAGTCTAAAGCTTTTTGGAAATTTAAAAAAAAAAAAAATCACTAATTGAAAACTTCATTTTTTATTACACTTTTGTTTTTGTTCAACTTCCATTTTTATTCAATTTCTAACTTCCAAATAGAGCGTTAGGGTATAGTGGTTTCTTAAATCAACTTGCATTTTTATTCAACTTCTTTTTTTATTAAACTTCCGTTTTTGTTCAACCTCATTTTTATTCAATTTTCAAATAGGAAGTTCAATTTCTAAATAGAGCGTTGAGGTATAATGGTTTCTTAAATCAACTTGCGTTTTTATTCAACTTCTTTTTTTATTCAACTTCTATTTTTGTTCAACTTCCATTTTTATTCAATTTCCAAATAGGAAGTTCAACTTCCAAATAGAGCATTAAGGTATAGTGGTTTCAGTCAACAAAAAAGTCCGTATATCCTTTCAAAATTAAAAGACAATGCCAATTCCTATGAACTAAAAGGTTAATAATCATTGCATAGAAAGCCATCACAACCCATTATAACAAGGATTGAAAGGAACTATACACCTAAAAAGAATAAGAAGACAAAAGTATTTAAACATTAAGAAAATACCAGCGGTAATTGGTAGAGATTTTCTCTACTGCGCAATCCTTTGCTTCTTGTGTGGTGAATTGCGAGTACAATCATATCAACATACATGCATACATATATATATATATACACACACACACACATAAATAGAATAGATAGAAATTGGAACATGGAGAAGAAGTCTGATTTGGTGTAGTCATTGGATAGATTTTGATTAGGTTGATTATTACTCTGTACGGAGTTTTTGCTTCCGAGAGGAGCCATTGAAGGTTATCTTTGAAAGCTAGCTGTGGAAGACGAGGGAATATATATATATATATATATATGTATATATGGTGGTGTGTCTATGTATGTAATGAACAATGAAGAAAATATGTAGAGGCTACAATGGTGGGGGGAGAGGAGTGGAGTAGAAGAAACTTATAATAAACAAAACCCTCAGACAGTTGGATCCGGAAGACAAACACAAACACAAACACAAAAAATTATATATATATAGTGTTTTTACACTTTGCCCCATTGTATTTGATATTTTTCACTTTGGCCCCTGGAATTTTTTTTTCGACTTTGACTTTTTATATTTTACGGTTTTCTCAATTTATTCCCAAGTTAACTTCTATTCAAAATTAGACAAAAAATGTCACATTAATTGTCGCATGACATAAAAAATATATTTTTATATTAGGATTGGAGTTTTTGTCAATAAAATATTTTTATATCACATGACTATCAATTTGTTATTTTCTGTTTAATTTTAAAAATAAGTTTATTTTCTTAAAATAAATTGAAAAAAACTTAAAACATAAAAAGTCAAGTAGGAAAAAGAAAACTTATAGTGGAAAAATGGTCAAATATAAAAAAAGGCATAGTATAATTTACCCAAAGATTAAAATACACATTTTCTAAAGGTTTGAAGAAAATACAATTGATCACACACGTTTAATAAAATTATACTGGACTGCTTTGAAGTTTTAATTCATATAACAATTACATTATTTTTTTTTCAATAATTCGTTACTCGTATAAAAAAAATGATATTGTCATCTATTTAAAATTAAAATATATATTTATTTTATTTATTTCAATAGATACTCACCATTCGTATTAATTCATTCGAGGTGAGTGTAATTTACCCTACAAAAATAGAGAGCAAATTTGTCCTACAAATTTTAAATTCCATTAATTTGTAAATATTTTTAAACATGGCACTGTCATATAATTTTTAAAATCTTTCCATTGAATTAAAAATTCTTGCCCTCAAAAGCCACGACTGTTATCTAATTCCCTTCTCTCTTTTTTTTTTCTCTCAAATTTTTGGTAGTCTCACAAACAATTTACAACTCAAGTTAAGTATACGGTATCTTTACATATATGTGTATATGATTCAATTAGCATGATTTTAAAACTCATCAAGCTTAAATTGAATTAGCCGATATTCTAGTACCCAAAAAAAAAAAAATTCCCAACTTCCACAAATTAGGGTGTTCAAGGAGATGTTTTTAATACAATAATTAGGCCACAAACAATCCAGATTAAAGATCAATCAAAACACAGCCGTACGATCTTTAAAATCCTACACTTTTCCGGTCCTTTTGGATTGAAGCACACCCAAAGCCTTTGCATTCTTCCAATGAAACCCCTTCACAACCCAAGTTAACAGCTCCCGCAACCACCGATGCTCTCAAACAAGTATCCACGAGAGCAGCCAAATCATCAAAAACACATCAGAGATGTTTTCACATTGCAGCAGGCAGAGTTCCAAAATGATGGTTCAAAAACCGCACACACCTGCGAGTCAGACGTAAAAAATAAAAAATAAAAAAGTCAATCAGAATTTTTCTGAAAATTGCGAAAACTTGGAGCATTCCTTCTAATTTGATAATTTCCCACAACCGGTATAGAAAAACAAGTATCCATAATATCCTTGTCAGAGTAAACTTCTCAAGAATAAGTAAATTTGACACCTAAAGCTCCTAACAGTGTAACTTTCCATCAAAATTGATCAGAAAAGTGCATAAACTAGGAGTATTCCTTCTAATTTGATAATTTCCAACCACTGAAATAAATATTAAAAAAACAGAAAAGAAAAAAAAAGCATCCACAATATCCTTTTCAGGATGAACTTCTCAAAAACAAGTAAATTTGACACATGAAGCTCTTAATAGTGAAGTTTTTTAGTAGAATTGTGCTTTGAGAGGCTCACCGGTTATGCCATAACGCATCAGCAATTCTTTATGTTGTTGCTAGTTCATTTGGAAAACGATCAGTCTGCATGAAAAAATATTTAACGCCGGCAAGTAAAATGAAGCTTAAGATGCCAATCGAAACAGGACCCACTGAACCCAACAAACTCATAGTGTGCTTGGTGTTCTGTTTAGCGCTGGCTTTGGATGAGCCAGAAGATATCAGAGATGGGTTCTTCATGAATGATGAATACGAATTGACTTCTTCTCTCGTTAGGGCTGGCTTCAATGACTTCCAGACAGTCTGGAAGTGACAATTACACACAACACTAGCCGATATGTCTTCTCTCAGAGCTACAATTCCAGCTTCCCTGCATAGGCCCTCCAACTCTGCCCCCGTGAATGGCTTAGTATCCTCTGCTATTTGTTTGAGATCAAAATCGTTCCCCCAAAACAACTATATGTTAGACATCTATAAAAGGAAAAAGTCAAAACAATCCACAGTAATAATTATACATGAACTCTACAAAAAAAAAAAAAACTAGTTCAAGGGCTAGCATTGCTTATCTGCTAGCTAGAAAGGACATCCAAAAGGCACAAGAACAAGGAGCAATGGACAAGTGCTTAGACAAAATTGTTAACTGATCAAAGCGTCCAGGCCACATAAGAGCAGCATCAATTGCATGAGGGCGATTTGTAGCTGCTAAAACAAGAATTCCCTAAGAAAGAAATCAGCAGATATCAAGTGAAGTTTTTAAAATCTTATCTTTAATTTCTCTCTCATGATGATGATTGAAATTAATAGATATCAAAATAATTTATGAAGTTTAATGCTTACTTTTGCCTGTTCTAAACCATCCATTTCTGTTAGCAACGTAGATAGAAGCCTCTCTCCTACGGCAATGTTGCTGCTTGATTTGCCTCCTCTGTCATTGAAAGGTAGAAAAGGAACAAAACAAAGCAAAAGAGTAGAACCAAAATGAAACAAAATCATTATTTCAAGGTGGTGGGGAAGACAAGCCTCAATGTAAAGAATAAAGATGCGTGATCTTGGAAGTGCATTCCTCTTTCTATTCATTTATCAACTGTACTGTGACTCAGAAGGACAAGCATACATATATTCAATTATAGAATCATATGTACATACTTATACCTTGTCAAAAAAATAAGAAAAAAATTTTTGTTCTTGCTCCTACATTTTCATGAACTTGACAAGAGAAATAAATGGGAGGCTACAATTATATGTAACAGATAAGTCACATTAAGTTTTAATTGACAAAATGAAGGACTAAACCAAATGAAAATAGAACACTAACCGTTTGGCAGCAACATCTGCCTCATCAAAGAAAATTATGCATGGTGCCGCAAGGCGAGCCCTCCGGAACGTATTATGCAACAAAGCTTCACCTTCTCCAACATACATTGAATATAATTCTGCACCACTGATTCATCATTCATAAATTTTCAAGACATGCAACTGTACAAAATTTTAATCAAAGAGCCCCTTTTCAAGGCATGCAATGGACTGTGACTTTTATTCTTCATTTTAATGGACAAATTTGATCTCATTTTTTTTTTTTATCAAAAAAAAAAAAAACCTAAAATTTTCATTAAAAATTCAGTACACAAAGTCTTCAAAACAACTAGTTTAACGCTAAAACTTGTCTCAATTATTAATTTTATTCAGTAGGTTCTGAGAGAAAAGATACCACCGCCTAAAAGCAATTTGGCAATATCAACTGGAAACATTCCTGAATGGCTTCTATCCAGGCAAAACATGATTATTTAACCAATCCTACCTAATCCCAAGATATCCAAAAAATATTTCTTCTTCTTTGCCCTATTTTCCTTAACAAGGTTAAATTTTTATAACCTAATATTCCACTCCCCATTTGAGATGACTATTCCACTTGTTACAAGTAGTTTTGAAGAAGTTTTCAGCCAGAGCTTTTATGACTTTGATAAATGTTTTGCTCCAATTTTGAGTGAAGTAACATACAACAGTATCCATACTTTGAACTACCCACAAGGTTTTCACAACGTGACTATTCCACTTGTTACAAGTAGTTTTGAAGAAGTTTTCAGCCAGAGCTTTTATGACTTTGATAAATTTTTGGCTCCAATTTTGAGTGAAGTAACATACAACAGTATCCATACTTTGAACTACCACAAGGTTTTCACAACGCATCTTAAAATTTGTAGTTATGTTAAGTTTTTATGCTCTTAACCTATCTTCTTGAAATTAATGAAAGATGATCAAACCTCAAGGAAAAAAAAGAAGCTTGGGTAGCATGAGCAGCAGCTTTGGCAAGGGTGGTTTTTGAGCACCCTGGAGGTCCGTGAAGAAGAATCCCACAAACAGGTGATACTCCAAGCCTTGAAAATGCAGCAGAATGTTTTAAAGGCCACTCAACAGCTTGCTGGAGCTTTTTCTGTACCACATATAGAGACACTGTCAGGGGTCAGTAAAAGTTTCAGCCTCATGTCCCTTCAACAAAAATAACATAGTATAAGAAAATATAAAGCAAATTTCATTACATTTTGTTGTACTGTTAATGTCTGCTAATTCTTTGATTCACCTCCATATGGCTCATCCGTGACTACTAGCAATTCCAGCATCATTGTGAATAAAAATAAAATGACCAAAATTTTAGGTATTTACTTTTAATCTTGTTAGGTATATATAGATGCTTATAACATATTTTAAAATGACTAACCTGAATAGAAGGAATGAGGATGTGGGCTTCTTTGGTTTAAAATGACTGCCTATTTTAAAATTACTGGTTGCCTCCATGAATTAAAGTGATGTAAAATTAGTATACAAGAGAATTTGGATTACAATTATTGGAAAATGATGTTGAGAAATAGAATTGCTACTCATAATAGGTCTTTAATTTCATTTAACAAAAATTTGACAAGATATCAAGTATTTCATCCCCAAGGTAACCAAACATTTACTTAGCCAACATCCAAAATAGCGCTGAAATAATTGGCAAGCAATCTTTCATTTTTTAAGTGAAAGGGTTGCACTGAATCTGAGTGAAACAAGGAAACCTAAAGATAATTTCCACCCCCAAGGATTGCTGGTAGAATTATATGCCAATGCCATCAAGGAGCCAGCCTTTTTATCAATGCTTCTCTAGGTAACACGACACTTGAATCGTCATTTGTTTAATGAGTACTATTATCAAAGAGTAATTCTACATATACAGAATTGAATCATATAGTTAAGTACTAAATTGTGTTTCAGTATGATGGGATGCACCACTTTAGCAGACTTTTTTCCAAATCTGATTTTACTTTTCTATTCGTCTAGTCAAATAGAACCTAAAAGTCTAAAGCTTTTTGAAAATTTCAAAAAAAAAAAAAAATCACTAAACGAAAAAAAGTCAACAAAAAAGTCTGTATATCCTTTCAAAATTAAAAGACAATGCCAATTTCTATGTACTAAAAGGTTAATAATCATTGCATAGAAAGCAATCACTATCAATTATAACAAGGATTGAAAGGAACTATATATATGGTGGTGTGTCTGTGTATGTAATGAACAATGGAGAAAATATGTAGAGGTTACAATGGTGGGCGAAGAGGAGTGGAGACAAAACCCTCATACGGTTGGGATCCGGAAGACACAAAAAACACAAACACAAAAAATTATATATATATATAGTGTTTTTACACTTTGCCCGTTATATTTGATATTCTTCACTTTGGCTCCTTGATTTTTTTTTTCGACTTTGACTTTTTATATTTTACATTTTTCTCAATTTACGCCTAAGTTAACTCCTATTCAAAATTAGACAAAAAATGTCACATTAATTGCCACATGACATAAAAAATATATTTTTATATTAAGATTTGAGTTTTTGTCACGTGTGTAAGTTATAATAAAATAAAATATTTTTATATCACATAACTGTCAATTTGTTTTTTTCTGTTTAATTTTAAAAATAAGTTAATTTTTTTTAAAATAAATTGAAAAAAACTTAAAACATAAAAAGTCAAGTAGGGAAAAGAAAACTTACATTTACACTATACCATTCATAACATTTACACTATACCATTCAAAAGTCAAGTAGAGAAAAGAAAACAATTTGCACCACAATGGTTGTAACATTTACACTATACCATTCATAACATAACTACAATAATTCATAACTTTCACTTTAGAGATGCCCACTATAAATTCAACTTTATAACAAAATAACACTATAAATATATTAACTTTCATTGCAAAAATTTATACAGCATTCTTCAGATGTTAAAAAAATGTTAAAAACATGATAATTAAATCGAAGGAAGGCCCACGTAAGAAAAGAAATTACTGGTGTTGAACCAATTCTATACATAATAACCAGGCATCTTGAACAAAACGGGGGGGCCACGGCCCCTGTAGGCCTACACTAAGTTCCGTCCCTGCAGAGATGTTTTCACATTGCAGCAGGCAGAGTTCCAAAATGATGGTTCAAAACCGCACACACCTGCAAGTCAGACATAAAAAATAAAAAAGTCCATCGAAATTTTTCTGAAAATTGCCAAAACTTGAATATTTATTGAATATAGATACATGTATAAACTTCTCAAGAATAAGTAAATTTGACACCTAAAGCTCCTAACAGTGTAACTTTCCATCAAAATTGATCAGAAAAGTGCATAAACTAGGAGTATTCCTTCTAATCTGATAATTTCCAACCACTGAAATAAATATTAAAAAAACAGAAAAGAAAAGAAAAGCATCCACAATATCGTTTTCAGGATGAACTTCTCAAGAACAAGTAAATTTGACACATAAAGCTCGTAATAGTAATTACTTTTAATCGTGTTAACATATTTTAAAATGACTGACCTGAATAGAAGGAATGAGGTTGCTGGCTTCTTCGATTTGTTGGGATCAGCAATCTTCTTCTTCTTCTTCTGGCGATTCTCTTTTGTTTTCTCTTTCTTCTTGAGCAATTCCAAGGCTTCTTGCTTGTGAATTTTCATCATCTCATCCTCTTCTTTTTTGGGATTGGCAGACCCTTCCTCCTTCCTCTGCTTGTAAGCCTCCATTTCTTCCAAATATTTTTCCATGTTTTGCTTTGCAATCTGCAAGTTCCCAAAATATGTAATGGTTATTGCAGAGACAGAGAGAGGGAGATTGAGAGAGAGAGAGAAAGAGTAAATTTAACCTTTTCATATGGCTTCTTCTGTTTCTCTGTCATGTTGTTCCATTCTTCAATGACCTCCCAGCCACACTTGCTCTCTGCTCTTAGCTCATTTCTGAATATGAAAAACGCAGACATCGGTTGCTTTGGCTTCAACGGGTCCTTCTCTTTCCTGTAGAAATTCAATGAGACAGATTAGAGAGAGAATAAGACGAAGGGGAGAGAGAGAAATATAGAGAACACTTATTCAATTGAAGAAACTGTTCTTCCTCCAACAGCCTCATGGCTTCAGTCGTGAACGCCAAAGACGCGGACATTGGTTGATGAGGACTGTAAAGATCAAAATGCTGGAGATCAAAAATCTGAACTCCACTTTTTTCCTCCTTCTGATCTTCCTTTCTGCTGTTGGTGCAGAGGAGACGGCCTATGATGGAGTACCAAAAGGCAGCAAAAACCTCGGCCATTTTGAGACACAGAGAGAGAGAGAGGGATAGAGACTGTCAATGGCTGCAAAAACTGTGAGAGAGAGAGAGAGGGGGTGTGGAATGGCGGAACTGAAAGTAATGAATATATATGGATAGACAGGGGACAGGGAGGGAGATGATTGAGAATATTTTTAGTGAATATTTTTTCGCTTATTGATTGAGAACACTATTAGGTATTTTTTTTTCTTCATTTAAAAGTTTCATTTGTGTTTTTGGAAAAAAAAAAAAAAATCAGTGTGCGTGTGTTTTTGAAATTAATTTTTAGGTTCTTAATATTTATAAGTGTTTTTAATTAAACACTATGACACTTATGTGCAATTTTTTGCAGATTTAAAAAGTTTTGAATTTTTTCCTATTTCACTTTTTCCTATTTCACTTTGACACTTATGTGCAAATTCAAGAAAACCTCCAATTGGAAATGAATTTCTAACATTCATTTTTTTTTTTTTTGGGTTACACTGGAAATAAAATTTCTAACATTCACCTAATGCTTCTTATAGCAACATTAAAACCTCTACAACTAGCACATGATTCACAATGGTTATCAATATCTACAGAAAATTTTCGTACTAATTGTGGATAAATTGTAGTTTACCACGAGGTTAGGCCAAAAAGTAGTGTCCTCGGAAGATTATTTTGTGACAATAAACCCCATAGTGAAATTTTTTAGATTAGACTTAGACTTAAAACACTTTGGATTTTTTTTTTTTTTTCCTGTTTTACTTTTTCAAGCATTTGTTTATTTTTGTGTATAAATTCAGTTTTTCAAAATTTGGTTTGTTTGTTAATTAATTGTGTGTGTTTTTAAAAAACTAGCAACCGGACACATGCGATACGTGTGCAAACTCATTTAAAGTTATAATATAAAATTGACATTTTTTAAAATAATGTACATATATATAACCATGTTCAATGTAACATTTGATATTAATATATTTGATATTTGATAAATAATATATATATATATTAAAATATGTACAAATCTTTATAAAGAAAGGCACAGACGAAATTGAGGAAACAAACAAATCAATTTTTTGGAAACATAACAAACCCACAAACACAAATCTTGATAAAAAGAAGAAAAATAAAAGTCAATTTTTTTATTTTTTTATTTTTATAACTTGATAACTAATGAAACATTTCATTTTATAGAAAGTATAATTAACAGTGACACATAAAAAGACAAATACAAAAATACAAATTCAAGGCACTTAGAGCACTGAATTTTTTTTAAGAACACTGAATATTTTTTAAAAACACACACAATTAAGTAACAAACAAACCAAATTTTGAAAAATTGAATTTATACACAAAAATAAACAAATGCTTGAAAAAGTAAAAAAAAAAAAAAAAAAAAAAAAAAAAACCCAAAGTGTTTAAGTCTAAGTCTAATCTAAAAAATTTCACACACATGGTGCCAAATTATTCAAAGAAGCCTGCATAAACATGAATTAAGAACTTAAAATACAAAAAACGCTGATTTTTTTTTTCAAAAATACACAAACAAAATTAAGAACATTGATTTTTTTTTTTTTCAAAACACACAGACAATGAAACTTTTTAATGTAGAAAAAAAATACATAATAGTATTCTCACAAAAGTAAACAAACAAACAAATCAAATCAAATTATAAAAAAACTGAATTTATACACAAAAAGAAACAATAGCTTAAAAAATTCAAAACTATTTAAGTCTCTAAAAAATTGCACATAGGTGCTGAATTTGTACACAAAAAGAAACAATAGCTTAAAAAGTGAAATAGGAAAAAATCTAAAACTATTTAAGTCTCTAAAAAATTGCACATAGGTGTCAAAGTGTTTAATTAAAAACACTTATAAATATTAAGAACCTAAAAATTAATTTAATGAAAATACAAAAAATACCGTTTTTTTTTTCAAAAACACACACACACAAAATTATGAGCACTGATTTTTATTTTTATTTTTCCAAAAACACACAATTAAACTTTTTAATGAAGAAAAAAAATACATAATAGTGTTCTCAATCAATATTTTTTTTTCTCCAAAGAACCTAATTACATAATGAAATTTTTTATTGAAGAAAATATAAATATAATTAACAATACTACACTTACAATGTAGGATAAGCAATAGATATATATTTCGGATAAAGAGAACCATAAGATTGCAATGTTCTTGAATTGTATTTTTCCCAACAAAAAAGAAAAAAAATCATTGACAAATAAAAAGGAAGATTTTATAGTAAATAGAGAGAGGGGTGAAGATGTTGAAACTATTTAAAATTGCATAGCAGTTTGAAAACATGAGAGGTGAGATTGGTTGGTATCATGAGAAGTGGGATTGGTTGTAATCTATTATTTTACCCTTAATTACAAACTGATAAGTATAAAAATAATATAATTATTTAAAAAGTTAGGGTCATTTTAGAAAAATTTGGAAAAAGTTTATGGGGAGTGGCTTCATGACACCAAATTTGTTGTTCCCTTTTAATAATAGAATAGATATTCAGTGTTCTTAAAAAAAAATTAGTGCTCTAAGTGCCTTGGATTTGTATTTTTGTATTTGTCTTTTTATGTAATACTATTAATTATACTTTCTATAAAATGAAATGTTTCATTGTGTTATCAAGTTTTAAAAAAAAAAAAAAAAATTGACTTTTATTTTTCTTCTTTTTATCAAAATTTGTGTTTGTGGGTTTATTATGTTTCCAAAAAATTGATTTGTTTGTTTCCTTAATTTCGTGTGTGCCTTTCTTTATAAAGATTTGTACATATTTATATATATATATATATATATATTATTTATCAAATATCAAATATATTAATATCAAATGTTACATTGCACATAGTTATATATATGTTCATTATTTAAAAAAATGTCAATTTCATATTATAACTTTAAATGAATTTGCACACACATCACGTGTGCCCGGCTGCTAGTATATATATATACTAGCACACGATGATTCAGATAAGTAAGAAACCCATAATCTTAGGTTTAAACATTACTCATGTCCCTTCAACACTAAGTATAATAATATATATATATATATATTATGAAAAATGATATAGAAATCTACTTTTTAAATCTATTTTTCAAACTCAATGATATGTAATTGATATGATTGGTCATAATTTAAAAAATATGAAAGAGAATATTATCTTAAATATTCTAATTGATAATTATATCATTAAGTTTGAAAGTTAAGTCTAATTTTTGAACTTGTGTAGCAATGTCATATATGATTATGTGGAGAAGAAGATGAATCTAAACTCAATGACTTTGGATTGGGAATTGTGTAAAAGTAGATTAACCCGAGTGTTGTTGATGATCTCATGAATGAATCGACCTCCTGTTTGCTTGTTCGAGTTCGGTATGATGGAATAAAATATCTTTCAAAGTGGTTATTTTGGGTGACTGAGGCTGACGTTTTTGTTGTTTGATACCAATATTTTAAAAATCGGATCGGTGAGTAAACTGAAAATGAGATTCGGTGGACGGATTATTGGTTATGTGATTATGTGCTTACATGGAATGAATTACTGTGACTATGAAATTCGTAAGTGCTTATGTGATTATGTGCTTACGGATTATGTGATTATGTGCTTATGAAATTCGGTGGACTGGAAAATAAAATTCATAAATGCTTATGTGATTATGTGCTTACGTGGAATGAATTACTGTTGTCCAATGCATTAGGACACGAGTGAAATAGCTTCATCACATGTGTGAATATGCTAATGTTCTTCGTTACCTTTATTAGGATGTCAGGATGAGGACGTGGCGATAGGCGAGGTAGGAGATGCCTATACCGGATCAGATTCCGGCGTAGCAGGAGGGTGTTGGTCAGGCCAATGTGGCCAAGCCAGTAGGTCAGCAGACCATGGGCGCCTTAGCCCGCGAGATGGTAGGAGCATTGAGGGAATCCATGGACATTCTCAGAGCTGAGAATCAAGTCCAAGCCCATGTTGTCGAGGCAGGGCCTTCTTTTCTGAAGAGAGAGTTTTTTCAGTCTAATTCAGATGAGTTTGTAGAGGATCCGAAAGAGCCACTGAAAGCTGATAAGTGGTTGGAGTAGATGATGAAGACGTTTGAGATACTAGGCATCGAAGACGGCGCATTGAAGGTGACCTTGGCATCTTTCCAGTTGAAAGGAGACGCGGGTCAGTGGTGGAAGTTCGTGCGAGGTCGTATCGGAGGGACTTGGGAGGCTTTCGTTGATGCCTTTCAAGAGAAGTTTCTGTCTCCCGCAGTCAGGGAGAGGCTGAGGAATCAGTTCTGTCAGCATAAACAGCTGAGTACACCAGTGGCCGAGTTTGAGGCTGCATTTACCAGTTTGTCTAGGTTTGCACCTAAGCTAGTGGCGTCTGAGGAACGCCGTTGTCTGGAGTTCGAAAGGAAGTTGAGGCACAGACCCAAGGTTAGGGTTGCTGGGTCCATGACTCAGGAGTATGGATGCCTTGTGGATGCTGCGGCCCATATGGAGATTATTATGCACGAGGAGGAGGAGAGGTTAAGGGGCTCCAAGAGGAGTCAAGATGGCCAGGGGGATGGCAGGAGGCAGAGGGGTTCTAACCCTCAGCAATCACAGGGTGCTTTTGTGAGATCTATCTTTCCAGTGCCGAGTTCAGGTTCTAGAAGAGGCAGTCAGGGAGACGTTACTTGTTACAAGTGTGGTCAGCTGGGCCACAAGTCTCCAGCTTGCCCACAGAGGGAAGGAGGGCAGAGAGCAGCTCCATCTTCGGCTCGTCCTCAGAGCCTGAGTCAGGGCAGAGGTCAGCTGATTTCTTGTTACTAGTGTGGTCAAGCGGGGCACTTGAAGAGGTTTTGCCTGCAGTAGAGTGGCACATCTGGTGCATCTGGTTCGAGGCAGACTCAGAGCCATCAGTCGGCTTAGTCAGTTCAGGCCTCGAAGGCCAATCAGGGAGCCTCATTGTCTCAGTCTGTACAGCAGACTTATGCTCCGAGAGGGGAGCAGGTAGATCAGAGACCTTCAGG